CTGCCCAGGATTGCACTGTGAATCACTTTGCTAAACTGCTTGGGTTTGTTCTTGCAACTTTCATTCCTGGCTGCTTTCTCTTTGTTAATTATTTCCTTACCCTGTTGTACAAACTTCTTAATACACAGATTTTTTTTTAATGGTGTCATTTAAGTCATCTTTGTATCTTTTCTTTAAGAAGCTTCCCAGCATAGGAAGAAAGCCACAGACTGTCCAAGAAAAACTATGTTATCCAAAGGAAAAATGTATAGTAGGTAAGCAGCATTCTTGATTGTACCAAGTGGGATTATTAGCTATGATATCAGCCATCTGAAGTAGCTAGTTGTTCTTACTGTAATATTTCTGAGAGTATTACAGTGCAATCTTAAAGAGTTACATTCTTCTAAGCCTACTCACCTCAATGGATTTAGAAGGGCGTAACACTGTTTAGGGTTGCACTGTTAATCTGCACCTTCACAAAAATTATAAGGCAATGTATGTGAGCACACATATTCAGCATGGGACTTGAGCAGAATGGAGAAAATCTACTGTTATCAATTTAACACAGTTATGATTCCTCCTAGCATCATAAATTCTTTTGCAACATTCATAAATAACGAAGAAGCAACACTTAATAAGCATTTAGTACTGATTGTCTAATAATTACTAGCAATTACTGGTAGTAATTAGTATATTAATCAACAAGCTTAGTGAATAATTAGTATATTAATCAACAAGCTTGGAGAGCCAGTACAGTGTAATGGTTAAGAGCAGCAGACTCTAATCTGGAGAACCAGGTTTGATTCACTACTCCTCTGCCACATGAAGCCTGCTGGGTGACCTTGGGCCAGTCACGGCTCTCTCAGAACTCTCTCAGTGCCACCTACCTCACAAGGTGTCTGTTGTGGGGAGGGGAGAGGAAGGGAAGGTGATTGTAAGCTGCTTTGAGACTCCTTAGGGTAGAGAAAAGCGGGGTATAAAAACCAACTCTTCTTCTTGTGTTGGTCAGAGTGGGCCATTTTAAAAAGGGGGACTAATTATAAGATGAGCCTGGCTGGATCAGACTAGTGGTCCATCTAGTCCAGCGTCCCAATAGACCTCTTCTCCATCAGTCTGGCTAATCCCCTTTTAAAACCACATATGATAGTGGCCAGGGCTTTTTTTGCAGAAAAAGCCCAGCAGGAACTAATTAGCATAATAGGCCACACCCAACAGAAATGTAAACGAAGATTCAAAGCAAAGTCCCTCCCTGTTAACGATAGGCATCCCTAAGTCTTTATACAAAAGAACATCAATGAACAGTTTTGGTATTATGGTGGTAACATAAGTTATGGAGATGTAATTACACAGCTCTGCTTGAAGGCCTGAATATTGTGAATTATTCCGAGCACCCCAGTTTGAAAAGCTGGAGAGAGTTCGAAGGATGTGAACCAAAATGATGAGCAGAAAAAGTAATTCCAGTTGAATAAAGAGGGAAAGGACTGGAAATGAACGCTGCCCAATTCTATCTGTTTACTCTGGAGTAATCCTCACTGATATTTACCCTCAAAGTGCATAAGACTACAGCCTTAATCTGAAGAGAAAAATGTTTTCAACTACATAATTTGTCACTCTGGATTTTATTCAATGTGAATTTTTCCCCCTACAGGCTAAATCAGATGAGGGCAGTGCTTATGAGCGATTCTGTATTTGTTTTTGCTTTGCCTTTGTCACAGCAGACTTATGGCAACCCTGTAGGGTTTTAAAGGCAAGAGACAAACAGAGGTGGCTTGCTATTACCTGCCTCTGTGTCTCAACCCCAGACGTCCTTACTGGTCTCCCATCCAAGTACTAACCAGAGCTGACCCTGCCTAGCTTCCAAGATCTGCTGAAATTGAGCTAACCTGGGCCATCCAGACCATTAATATATGAGTATATACACTAATTCTGTATAGCATTTTGGTAATACTCTGATCCTTTCTGTTGTATGTATATATATTTAAATTGATTTCTTTGACTTGGAATTATTCCAGATATGTTGTACAAATGGATCAGAGAGTGCAATTTTTGTGTCTCACAAGCTTTTCTGTGTTAGAATTTTACAGACAGGCAGGAGGGACTTAAAATTCCCTTGCTGAAAACACTTGGATCACCAGAAGCCATGGAAGTGGTTAGAGTACAGAACTACAATCTCAGAGAGCCAAGTATGAATCCCTACTGTGCCACATGAGCATGGGATAGTCCCTCTCTTCTCAGCTGACCCTGCCACACAAGGTTGTTGTTGTGAGGACAAAATGGCGTAAAATGGTGCTTTACAAGGTGGTAAACTCTTGGGTCCCCCACTGGGGAGAAGAGTGGGGTATAAATATCTAAATAAATAAGTGATGGATGTATCAAAACAGCTTTCTGCAGATAGCCTGTTTATATTTTACCCTGGCTGGTGAGGGGATAGAATGCTGACCTTGATGGCTTCCGGTCTGGCTCCCGCGAATGGCGGACGCATCCTCGGGTCGCTCCTGAGGGCGCCTCGCCCGCCCGCGGTGGAGGAGGGAATCCGCGCGAGCGGAGACCCGAACGAGCCCCTCAGGAAGAGAGGAGCTCGGATCCGGGGCGCTTTAGGGCGCACCAGGGGGGAGTCGCTCTTTCGGCCGAGAGGTCGGAGACCGAGGCTCCC